AAGTCTTTTTCCTTTTTTGGGGCAGGATAAATGTGCATTATACTTTATGTTCCACATATCTCTATCTCTCTCTCGGCATCTCAGTGTGTGCCAGATATTCCTTTTTCATTTACTCTTTATTTGGGCTTTTTGTGGCAGCGGCTTTTCAATTGGTTCGTTTCGGTTTTTCCCCCTGGAACTTTGGCTAATTTTTTCGGGGGAATTTGTTTATTGTTTCACTCTTTTTACGGCAAAGTTTTTATTTCTGCATCATTTTGCCAGAGTGTTTTATTCTGCATATATTATATATATATTTAATTAAAATAGTTTTTGTTGCCATTTAATGAGCCTAACTAATTTGCAGCTTTGTTCGAGAGTGGAATATGTTGCAACATTTTTGTCAGACACTAAAATTTAATGAGTGTCGGGCCATTAAAAGTGGAAAATTATAAATTCCTCTTAAAAATTTTGAATAGAATTTATGGCTAATCTAATATTAAACATAGTATTTTAAATTTCCAATAGAACTTTCATTCTCTCGATGCGAAAAATCGAATTTAAATGAGAGAGATTAACCAATTCTATTATTATCCAATAATTTGATTGCTCATTTGGTGGCTTATTAACAAGAAAAATTCACACGAAAATTGCCAGAAAATTGAAAAAATCAATTTTGTGAAATCTGTCAACGGGCTGTGGCCACAATTAAAGCAAAGGCGACACAGCTCAGAGAATGAATTTTCGGCAGAACGCCGCAGAAAATGAAATTAATATTAAACAATGCGTGACATTTTTTTTTGCTTTTTGCAACAAAAGCACAAAGCGAACGGAGGTGCCACAGGAGGAGTGCTCCTCCAACCGCAACTCGTTAAAATTGTATGCCACAAATGGCTGCATACGGGTTCATATGCATGTGTGTGTATATGTCTGTGTGTGGCAAGAGCAAACAAGCAACAAGAAGCCGAAAACCATGAAACCATTCCCCGAAAAAGTTAAACAAGCGACAACTGCAAACAGAGCAAAAGAGAAATAAAAATAATTCAAAACAAAGGTGGAAAAACCTGAAAATGAATTAAAAATTCAATTCAGCAAAAGCCTGGAGATAAAGTTCGTGCCTTAGAATGTGAGGTTTATGGAAGAACAAATATGCAGCAGAGACACAATCGAAAAAGTACCCTGTTGAAATGGTGGAAAACTATATATTTAATGCAGAATTACCCAAAATAAATGCCCAGTATTCTTTAGTTTCCTGAAGAAATGTATAAGAAAATCTTTAGAAAAGATTGCGTATACGCAGGTTAACCTCCGAATATTTAAATATTTAAGCCAACTAATGAAAATATTGTAACTATTGACATGCTGCATCAAGATTATTATATAAAAAATGCAATTGAGTTAGTTTCCTGGAAAAAATACACAACTCAGAGTCGAATTCCATTTACATTATTCCCTTCCTGAAACACTTTGGAAATGCGTGACAAATAAAATATTTAAATATGTATATTTTCAGTGTCAGAAACATTTTGACATATTTCGCACTGACAAAGTGCCGCAAAAAGTTGCAAATTGTGGTCATTGTGTGTGCGTCGAGGGACACAAAAAAGCATAAATATATAGAATAATTTCACACAAAACGACCCAACACCCCACGATGACTGCGTTAAGGATTTAAGTTCCGCAAAAAGTTGTAAAAAACTCCCCACATGAATGTGCATGAAAAACTAAGCCCTCAGATGATGATGATCATCATCATCGTGTGGACATCAGGGCAGGGTTTTTTGTTTTTTGTTTTTGCAGCATTTGAAAACGGAAGTGATTTCATCAAATATTCATATTAACTAATTGGATTTGATGCCATTTGGCATATGTCCTGTGTGTCTGAGTGTGTCCTTCACAGCGGATATTGCCTCTCGATCTGCATCGGACTGCACCTTCCGCTCCGGCCACGGCGCAGTAATTTAATACACAATGTTGTTTTTAAATTAAAAATGTATTTACACAGCACTGAAGGATATACCAACCCATCGCAGCAGCGGCGGCGGAGTGTTCTTTCCGAATGTTTTCCTAAGCGGCTCTGCCACTTGCTTACCTAAAAAAGAGAGAATGGATATTAAGAAATGTCCTTTATATCGTCACAAAGATAAGACTACAAAACTAACAAAGTCGTTGGCAAAACTTCGTTGGAAAATTTTCATATTTCTGGAAAATTCTCCCCTCCACGTTGCGGCGCCTGTCTGTTATTGCCTTTGAATTGGTTAAGTTTCGCTCTTTCTAAGTGAGCAAAACCTCTCGCTTTGAGTAAGTTTTTACTTGGGGAAAGACTGAGGGTAGAACTTTAATTTCTCAGCCTTTTCATTAGCATTCAAGGCGCGTAGCACACAGAAGAGAAAAGATGAATAAAATAACACAGCCAAAGAAAAACAAAAAAGAGGCAGTGGCTGTGGCAGCGGCAGCGGCGGCGGCTGAAGAAAAACATCGCGAAAATGTGTCAGTTAAAGTGAAGTATACACAACATGTGGGGGAAACGCGATGAACTCCATGGGAACTCAACTCTTTTTTGGATCCCCGACCCGATCCCCACTAGCCTCTCCACTCAAAAGCTGAAGCCCCTTCTGCATTGCCATTACTTGCACGCGCCAACAAAAAAAAAGTGAAAGAAAACGTGGCGAATATTGCGAAATATTAAAAAAAAAATAATAATATATGTACGAGTGTATACTCTGGTGTATACATATATAAGAATTGTGCTGTGTGCCCAGTGGCAGGAAAAACAGAAGAAGATGAAGCGGCCTGGAGAAGGGCTTCTAGGGGGTGGCAAGAAGATGTCGGCAGCACAAGAAAAAAGAGCTACAAAATAGCATAGAAAATTAATAATCGCGCAATTTTTGCGCCAGTAAACAATGAGAAAGTCTTGGCTCGTTAGTTTCCTCATTATTCTGAATTTTCCAACTTGCTCTGCCCTCGTCCTTTTTCGCTATTTCTGTAGACTTTTCTTTGTGCCTCGCCATTTTTCCAGCTGCAGTCTAAATCGCTGAAAAGGACAAAAACGCAACGGTCGGTGGATGGTGGAGATGGTAAATGGAACAACGGCGGCAAACGAGCCTTAAGGTACTCATAGTTGTTGTTGCTGTTGTTGTTGGATTTTTCCCCTGGAATTGGGTTGAGTTCTTAGGCCGGGGCTGGGGCCGGAGACAACTGTCTGACAAGATGAAGAACAACGCGATTTCCATGGAAAAATAATAATGAAAAATGTGATTTAATATAATTCTTCATAGCAATACAAATTTTGCCCAGACTTTGTTCCCTCTGAAGTGGAGTGCAAATGAAGTGTTGGTCGTATCTGGTAGAATCTCGGTTACTAAATGGTTTTCAGTTTTGTCATTGTTCTCTCTCTGAAAGGAAAGATCACCACTAAGCTGTGGGAATGCAAATTGTGGAAATTTGTGGTTGTTTTTGAGTGGCGCCTAAAAACCGTTGAATGTCATAATCTTCCTGACCAGAGAATGTCGAGGGAACAGTTTGTCTACATTCAGTAATTATTTGAGGCATCAGTGATTACCACGCCCATCGATTGATAAGCCTCAATGAAACCCAAAATGAGACAACATTTAAAGAGCAGTCATGCAAATGATACTGTACTCACAGAGAGTCCTCCCTGTAGAAAGCGCAAAAGCAGGCAAAATCAGATCAAGGGCCAAACAGCCAACAACAAGTTTGGCCCAGAGAGTGTCAAGACTCGATGCTGCGAAGCCCGACAACGAAACGAAACGACAACTAAATTATTAATGCACAATGAACTTGAAGCGCGGACCAGTCCGAGGACAGCGCGGCAAACCAGAAAATATGGCCAACACAACGCAACAAAAAAAGTTGGTAAAAAATCTGCGTATATATGCGAATGATGCAAATGACATTAACTGTAGAAAGAGAGAGAGTGGCGGGAGTAGGGCACAAGGACAAGGGCAAACAACGGTGTAAAAAAATTATAATACGTGAACAAATTGCTCATGGAATAGCAGTCCTGCGTCCTGCGTCCTGTGACTCTCTTTCTCTGTCTCTCTTCCCCCATTTGTTTGTCATTTCATTTTGCATTTTAAATCAACATTTTGTTAGCAGAATTCCATGCTTTATTTTTCGTGATTTTTTTTTGTGTGGGCTTTGTGATTCGCGGGCATAATTTGGATATGCATTAAAAACTTTTCAACTTATTAATACAATTTTTCATGGGAATTTCACCTTTTGAAGTTTGAAGTACGAAAGCCAAACGAAATGCGTAATGATTTTTTCATTGCTGTTAAATAAACAATTAGATGGGGGAAAGGTAGGGAGCTTTGGTGAAAGTTTTACCAGATACGAGTACTTGAGCAGAACCCCTCGTTTATTATACTGGATTAGGAGGAGGAGCTGCTCGGGGCGCCCCCAAAAACTTTCATTTCGTTACGTTTCGTTGCGTGTATGGGTCTAATCAAATTCCGTCATTTAATTTGGGCAACTTTCCGGGACATAAAGGTTAAATGTTGGTTAAAGCAGAGCCAGGAAAGCCCCTTGGGGTGACCATTAGCTTGGGAGTTAAATGGGAGGAAAAGGTTACATTTCACCTTCTGTGCATTTTAGGGAAAGCTGAAATTAGTTACAAGTAAGTTTGGAATAAACATGCCTGTAAATTTAAGGCAAATTAGCAAGCAACAACAAAAATATACATCCCAACCAGCTCCCTTGTATTCCCATAATATCAATTCAACAAATACTCGTATTCCCGCCGGCCAATAAATCATAAGAGTACTATTTATAAGCCCCATTGGAACCCTGCTACCCCGCTCTGGAGAAATAACCAATTTATATTCAATTATCAGTATCCGTATAGTATATGTAGGTGGTGCTGGATTTTTTATACCAGCGGCATGCCCCCACCATAAGCTGCTTAACTATTTTAATTTTCCACGTGATTGTGGTGGGGAGGAGGGGGGCAAGCAGGTTCATGGTTTTACCATCTGCCATATGCGTGCGGGGATTGGCCTCACCTTTTTTCAATAAATTCCTTTGGCCTCAGCTCCGGGCTTCCCAAAAAAGATATCCGAAACACGTGACAGATTTGCTTGGATTACATACGCATTATACACACAGATACACACACGGATACGCACAGGACACACGGGGAGCCGCACAAATATATATGCATATGTGGACTAGGAGCGAAATATCTGTGGATTTACTTGAACTTGTGGCTCTTTCTTGTTTCTTGTTTCTTGTTTCTTGCTGTTGTTGTTGTTGTTGTTGTTATTTTTGGTGTTGTTGGTGTTGTACAAGATACAGAAACTTTATTCAGATGACACTTGCTCGAATGCCTCATCCGATTAGCGGCTGGGGCAACATCTTAATCACTGATTAAATTGAGCGTAAGCCACGAGGCAAGACGCACAACCGACACACGATAGTCCTAGTCGTAGTAGCTCGTAGTCCGCAGCAGGATGTAGCACGTGTAGCTGGTGGCAGGATGCACTAGTACGTCGAGTAGCCGCAACCAAATGATTCCGCACTTGGCCCTTGGACACAACTGAAGCCCACGACAACGGCATTCAAAGTGGCGATGGATGGATGGCAGCAGCCACGATGCTCCCGCCAGAAACCCGAGCTCCGAGTCCCACTCCCCCCACCCAAAGAAAAGCCGAACAGCACGGCAATTGGCAGTAAACCAAGCTAAAGAGAGGCATCTAAGAGAGTATCCGGCGTTTTGGGTGGGACTCTTGACGGACATGCGCTGTGGCCCATACACCAATGCCACCAAGAGAGAGAGTTTGCCCTCTTCCAATGCCCCAAAACTCTGCTCGTTTGGCAGAGTGTCCCAAAGTTGTCCCAAGGACCAAAAACAGCAACAGCTGTTCCCCCAAAAACGAAGCCAATGGACCAGGTCTATAAGAGAAATCTCTTAAAAAAAAAACAACAAAAAAATCCCAAAAAAAAACAAAAAGAAAAGCGTTGTCGTTGTCGGCTTTTGCTGTGACGCACTCTCTTCTGTCTCTCTCTCTCTCCCCCTCTCTCTGAGAGAGAGATTCCTGTCGTGTGTCTTAGGTCAGAAACTGTGGCATCTATGTGTGTGTGTGTGTGTGTGTGTGTGTGTGTGTGTGTTTGCGCGAGAGGCGTATCTGTGTGAGGACGGAATCCTTCGTCCCGGTGTTGGCAGAATTTTTAATTATGATAAATGCCCATTCATAAAAATGAATGGCTTACATTTGCGTTGCGTGTTTATTTTTATACGATATCCCCCCTGCATAATCATTATTGCTTTTATTATATATCTTTTTTATTTATTTCCGTTTTCTTGCGTCACCCCTTTCTCCACCCTTGCACTCATCTACTCCTCTTCCTGCTCTTTCTGCCACGTCTTTCTTCCTTCTTTTGGCAATTTGTTAGCCTCATCTTTGTGTGGCCTTCTTCTTTTCCGTCTTCCGTCTTCCAACCTCCATCCTCTGTGTGCACTTGACAGGCCAAGATTTATGCGACTGCAGTTGGTTGGCGATTGTTAAGGGCGGGCGGGCGGCAGGAGAAAGAGGTGTGATTTGGGGGTGGCTTTTGGGGGGGCACTGAGTGGTGGCTCGGTTCGGTGGTTGATGATCGACTGCCGGCTGCAGGTGTTGATGGCCCCAGATGTGCCTCAATCACCATCAGCGTCAGTTAATAAAATCAGAGCACGACATTTGATGAATTGTTGCCGATTTTCGCACAGCCTTTTAAGGGCCGAAACGTTTAGCCAGCAATTAAACATTCTGGCAGGATGGGCTGAACATGAATAAACGCTGAGAGTTATGCCATTATCCTCCCACCTCCCCCCTCCCCAGTATTGTGCGGCAAAACTCAAACAAAGTTCGATGGGATAGTCCTCTGCGTGTGTCCGACCACTCGACAAAAACCAAATTGACCAAAGTTAATTTAACCACTGTAAACAAGCCGAGAGTTGAGAGCCCGAGAGCCTGAGAGTGAGATCCTGAGAACCAGAGCCACCACCCAAGCACTTCAAATGCTTCGCTGGCCACGAGAACATCCATTCTACAACAACAACAAAAAAATAAAGAAAAAAGAAGGAAGAAAGAACGGACGAACGGAGGAACAGCCGTACAGCATATACGGTAGGGACTGTAGTGAAAATCAATTGAAGCGCCAACAAACGCTTCAATCAATTTTACTTTGGCAAACATTGAGTGCAAAATAAATCACAGCCTCGACTCAGAGAGACTGAAGGCTCGAGACGATGGAAGATGGTCTGGACTGGAGGTAGAGGAGGTAGAGGAGGCAGGGATTGTATGGGATTGGGGACTCAGCTGCATTCCAAGGGATTGCAAGCATCCTGCCCGCCATGCCCACCCATGCCACTGTGGCACATCCTTGTTTTTATCTTATTTATGCAAAGCTGTGGCAAACACCAACAATAACCAGGGAAAACAGGAAAAGGGAAAAGGAAAAGCACGGCAGACGCGAGGCAGCAGCTAAAAAATGAATGAATTCAATGAAATGCGGCTAAAAGTAAACCAAAGGATGCAGAGGCAACAAACCGATTGCCAATGTCTGTGTGTGAGGAGGAAGGACATCATGCTACTTGGAGGCACATCAAACATCTCAAACGAAATGAATAATTTATAGACGCATTTCCACGCTGCCTGTGGAGTGGCAGAGTGGCAGTGGCAGTGGCTGTGGCAAGGGCGAAGGGCGAAGGGAATCGAGAGGAGAGGAATTGTCACGTAAGCCAACTGCAGTATGTTACTTCCAGTTACAGATACACGCACCACATTCGCCACATTCCGCCGGAAGTAAGCCCAACAGCAGCAGGACATACAGAGAGAGGGAGACCCACACACACACATTCCATTCATGGCAAAATAAAAATGCCAATGCCAATGCAAATGCAAATGTAAATGGCAACCTGAAGTGCTTGGGATTCTTTTGCATTTATTCTCATTGCCTTGCCCCGCAAGTATGCCACCCATGTATGTACATCATCGTATCGTGCAACGCACTCGCCATTTTTCCACAAATAAATTCATTTCAATCATGTGCATTTAGTATTTATTCAGACGAAAAATTCATCATTTTATTGGGGAACAACTTTCATGTCTTTCACGACGAACACTATTCATAGTATATTTATTTTTTGTATATTTTTATCATTAGAAAGATCTTAAAAATATGTGACAATATCCCTCGCTCATCGCTGCGCAATGTTTGGGGAGCAAAAAGTTATTTTTATTTCGCGATTATCCTTCAGGCAGAGCGTTCCGAATGCGATTATCAGGATATCAAAATTCGTTTTACACAATTTATATACGAGAACAGAGAATATCTGGCATCTCTTTGGCTGCCGCTGTCTTTCACTCTGCCACTCTCTCACTTTCCCACTTCCAGTGAGCCACGGAGCAAAAAGTTTCAAATAAATGACTGCACAAAACTTTGCTAATCTCCCAGAAAATATATAAAAGTAAGAGGAAATATGCCAAACATGAAAACGAAAATTCTCTGTTGGCCAAAAAAACCGACAACAGTTGACTTTGACTGCTGGTTAAACCGCACAAAATATTCGTCAATTTTTGAATTGCGAAATCCAGAGAGGAATCAGCGCCAAACAACAAGTTTCTTGTTCGTGTTGCGTTGCGTTGCGGCAGTGGGAAAAATATTAATTTAACTTTGAGCATTAGACGGGCAATGACACTTGAATGGAGAACCTGTGCGACAGCCGCCCATCCTCCCGCCCCTCAACCACAACTCTCGTTAGATCCTGGCCACAACAGGCGTCAACTGCTGGTATCTGCCCCTCGATATCCCCCTACATCTCTCTGGGGGGCAGGGGGAGGTCTGTCCTCTATTTGCCTATGCGAAATTTGATGCGATGTCTGCCTCCGCTGATGGTGGCAATGTCGGTGCTCGTGTCGCTGCCGTTGTTCTGAGCGGTCATTATCGTAAATTTTTATGCTAAATACATTTTGTTGTGGGGACCCCGAAACACAGAGCCAAACACCAAAAGAAATTCGCTATTATCTGTGGCACAACGAATTGGGAATGCTCTGAATACCAATTTATAGATAGAAAATCGATGAATATATCGAAAATTTATCGCTGTAAATACTTGAAATACAAAATATAGAGAAAAATATCAATTATAACCAAGAAATACCCCACAATCATGCGGTTTGCGGTGACCTAAACGCTAAAGAAACCTCCAATTTCCAGCTGGCTGTCAACCTTAGCGACGCGCCTGTCAATGCCTCTTTCATCTAAAGAATATCTGGAATGCCAAAATTTGCGACAGCTGTCGCCATGGCTACAGCAGACAGGACAACATAATCATCTCCGTGCCATGTTCAAAGGAGGGACTGGACCAGAACTGGACTAGATTCGGACTTGACCCCCGCCCCACACTCGTACAAGACAAATTGAACCATTTGAAGACAGATTTGTGAGTTTAATGCGGACAGGGGCCGAACAATTTCTCGTTGCGGTAGAGGAAGGTCAACAGCTCCGGCGGGTGCATGCGCTCGACTGTGCCCATCACGGCGTCCAGTTTATCAGTCGCGTAGAACAAGTGGTCGTGGAACTTCTTGGCCTTTAGTTTCAGAAAGTCGATTTCCTTGAGGGCCCGACGTTTCTGCTGCTGGTAGTCCGCCTTGGTGACCAGCTTCCCCACGAAATATTCCATCAGCTTCCGCTCACTGCTGAAGTAATTGTTGCACTCGGCTCCATCGACCTTCACCTGCTCCACGTAACGGAAGCGCTGCCGGCAGAGAGCCTGCTCCCGCTCCAGCTTACGCTTGAAGGAGTCCAGCTCGTTGAGAAGCTTCTGCAGGCGATTGGCGTTCTCCATCTCCCGGCAGATGCTCTCCCGGATGGCCTTTACGTTGCTGTCCGTGGCCACGCGGCACAACTGGAGCTCCGCCAACTGCTGGCGCAGCTTGTGGCTGTTGCGCTGCAGCTCCAATATATCGGGACTCGTGTTGAATGCCAGCAGCTCCACGTCCATGTCCACGCACGGATCGATGTCGGGACACTCGGGTATGCGGGTCCCCAGCTGGCGATCCACCTCGCCCACGCGCTCCTTAATGCGCTTCACCTCTGCCAGGATTTCCTCCAGCTGCATTTCCTCAACCATTGTGGGCGGTGACGACTGATCGCTTGACTGCTCCTCCTCTACATCCATCTGGGAGACCTGGGAAATCTGTGAACCCTTTCGTCTTGAACGTCCTGGCGTCGGCGTCGGCGTCGGCGGTGGCGGCGGCTCGCAGTGGAAGAGCTTTGTCTTCGGGACCCATGGCGGGGCAATAAACTTCCACAGGGTCTCGGCAGGCGGTACTTCGACCTTGGGCACACATCGCATAAGTCCAGGGGCGTTGCAGGGCACAATTGAATAAGTGCCTTGATTCGGGGGCAAGGGTTTGGCCTCAACTGGGTCTTCATTCAAGTTAGAAGTCATACTAAAATTTATTCTGGATATGGATGCACTCTCCATGGTTGCAGAGCTAAAAATAAATATACTAAGCGACAATACGTTTGTGAGAATCGAGTAAATCACGTTTAATGTTAGGGTTTTGGCAAGTATTTCCATGCGACACTTGACTTGGTATTCTGAAAGGGAGGGATACTCGAACGTTGCACCTTTTGTGGTGGCATGCATCCACTGCGGTTTCCCCACGATGACGTTAGCAAAAGCGCTTAGGCAGCAGCAGGCACTTAACCCTCAACTAACGCAAACATTCACTCGAAAAACACACATGGGGCCTCGCCCCCTATGGGGGTGGGACCACAGATGCACAGGCAGAACCAACCACAATTCATCTTCATAATAAAACGTAATGCCAGCGACAAACAAACTTAATGCGAATTTTAAATTACTTAAATGAAGAAAGAAGAACAACAGGAAAGCAGAGAAAAACGAGCTGAGGAGAGCTTAACCGTAATGAGTGGGAAAATACGATGTGGAATGTGAGGAGCTCGCGGAAACGACAATGGGATACCCTGCATATGGTGAGAGAGAGTCCAATGCCTTAAACATTGTTCTCTTCTACTTTTTGATACTGTCGGACCCGGTGGCAGCAGCGACGCCAACGCATAATTGAGTAATTGAGAGTCGCTCCCCAAATATTTTGTATAACGCTCTAATATTAAAATGTTCTCATTTGAACTTCTGCTAATCCACTGCTTCTGTTCTGCTTTTCGATCTCGCACTTACTCTCTTTCTCTTCTTTACCTCTGCCGACAGCGCAGGCGCTGCCCGTGCAAGCTTCACTCAAGCTTCATCTTATCGCAAAATCTCTCTGCCTCGTCGCTCTCTACCTATACTTCCTCTCTCAACGCAAACGCTTTGATTGCCAATTTGTTCTTTATTGTAATCTGCCAATGTCGTTGTTTTTAATTCGATCGTGTCTATTCATGTTCTGTTGTGGTTACTCTGGTTTCACCTGATCTTCCTTCTTTTCGGCGATGCGTGACAAGGGGCCCAATTCTGCGCCCGGCTGCAAGGATATTCCCAACTTCTCGATGGCGTTGCGACTAGACACCGACACTGGACCATCGCCAGAGGGACTCTCCGACTTTTTCTCCCTAAGCTCGGCGAAAAATTTTGACAAAATTGTGACGCGATCAGGGGAATCATAATGTTCAGTTTTCATGGAGGAGCTCTGTCCAGTGAAGGACTGGCGTGTGCAGTGTATGCCATCGCCGCCTTCCTTTGCCTTTGATTGGTCAAGCAGCTTGAGTATCTCCATTTGGTGGGCCAGGAAGGCCTGCTCGTCTACGGTTTCCACAAATTCCAAATTTCTATTGAAAATCACATTTCCAGTAGAAGGCGCCTTGATGATGTCCGTGTAGTCACTATTGGCCTTGATGCCATGGATGCTCTCAAACAAAATATCAATCTTTCTCAGGGTATCCCAACCAGCCGGAATGAGTACAGCGTCCTCGTTAACGACCATCGGTGGAGTTTGGAACGGCAGACCATAGATGCGATGCAATAGATACTTTCGGAGGTGATCACAGTTTGTGGCTTTTTTGATGCTCGTATAGAAGAGTGCAGCGCCGTGACGAAGGCAAAAATTACGTATCCAGTGCTGCATAAAATCAATATGCTCATCACAATAGTCGTTCTCCTTCAGAAAGGTGCCGCCCATGCAGTCGGTTTTTGTAACCACAACGACAAGGTCGACCCCAAGATTTGTGGTAAGTGCATCCTCGGTCAGCGGCGACAGATCATCCGCAGCGATAGCTTGTTTCAGACACGATCCCGTGTAGCCGTAACTCTGCCAAATTGTTGCAAGCCGCTCGCGTGCCTGCACCTTTTTCTCGGCAGCCAGCGGTAGGCTTTCAATATGGCGTTCCAGCACGTTTACCCAATGTTTGAGCTGCTTCGGCCAGGCCCAGGGCTCGGTGATCGAAACTGTGAGCATGACGAGCACATCTCCAAAGTTATCTTCGTTGAATACAACGGGCAACAGATTTGTGTGCCCAATGTCACCATTGATTGTCCAAACTCCCAACTGCGCCTTGTCACCATTGATGTCGTCCCTGACATCAATGTAGTCATACTCCAAGCTGACGCCATACTCCGGCGACTTCTTTCCATTCAGCTTGGCCAGGAGGGACGTCTTGCCGGTTCCATTATCGCCAAAAACGATTACGGATTTGTTTGATACCAGTCTTCTTGCGGCACCTTTTTGCTCATTCAATATGTCGAGCCAGAGATTCTCCTTATCCTGTGCTTTTGTCATTTTTGCTGGCCATTCTTCTGGCTTTTCCGCTGCCATATTTGAGTTTCTCTCACTTTTCTGATTACTGAATACTAACCTTTTAAATTATATATGACGAAAAAAGCAAATGGCTTTCAGTTCCAGAGCAATGTTGCCACCAATTCAAACTATCGATAAATATATCCATATTGTTACACATAAAATAATATATTCGTTCTTCTTCGTATTTGCTGCAATAAAAACTATAAATTAATGAGTAAAAAGATATAAATTAATGTTATAGCAAGCTACGATGTATATTTAACTAAAAGCAGTGATGCCACCTGTAACTTCGATAACATTTTGGATCCCATCGGTTCATTTGATATTAATGTGACTGCTCCAACATATCGTACATTTGGAATACCAGGAACCAGGGGAAAATAAATCAACTGGCAACGGAATGATTGAACGGAACAACTCGTTTAGAAATGGGGATAAAGCAAAAGGAACACCGGCAGACAACGAGCGCGCATTGCCATTGAATGACAGCGGAGAATGAAGTAAAATCTAATTAAAAACCTTTTGCCCGATGCTGAACCAAGCGAAAATCACAATTGTCAGCGGGAAATTCACGCACACCTGCACACCTGCACACTCACCATCGGAGAGGAGAGTTGGTGGGCAAACAAACCCGATTTCCCAGTGAGGGGCAATAATACGCAAACAAATACGAACACGAACCTCAACCTGAACAGAGAGCGGAGCGGGCAGGTGAAAAACATACGTCGCCTGTCCGTCCGGATGAACGAATACGGGAATCTGGCAAAAACAGAGCGAAACTTTTCGGCCAAAAAAAAAGAAGAAAAAAAGGCAGGTGAGCTGCCAGGGGTAAAGTTTTTCCATCTTCTTCTGTTTTCGCCCTCTGGTTAGGATGGGTGATGGTGTGGCATGGGGCATGGGGCGAAGGCAGGGCACAGATAACCTCCAGCAGCAAATGAAACGCGCTGTTGCACACGAAAAATAACAAGCTGCGTTGGTCAATTCATCGAATGTCGGTCAGGGCTGCCGTCAGGGAGCAAGATTGGACCTGGGGAGCAGGCAGGGATTGGGGATCGGAGCAGCTGCTTAAATGGACAAAGCAGCCATAGTCCAGCGACGGTGTTTGCTCTGCTTGAATTAGAAGAAACTAGTTTAGTTATGCCCCCAGGGCGTGCTCCCTGAGGTCTCCGACTATTGAGTTATCCGGGCCGACATCAGGAAATTAAACTGTTTTCGGCATTATAAATTGCATTTATTATGCAAGTTTTTATGCATTTTCTATTCTTCAGCCCCTTGACGTTCTTTTTAGTGTTCATTTTTTGTCAAAAATGTGGAATTTTTGTGTGTGTGTTTTGTTGGTTAAGCATTCCATTATGTGGCTGCAGAATGTGCCATTTCGTTGACTCTCTTTTTGGTGACTCTGTGGCATTCATACGCCGCCTAGTTGAGTTTGCCTTTGTGGCAAGGAAATTGGATTGTGGACCGACCAAAAACTAAATAAAAATAAAACTAAAAATAAAAACTAAAAAATGAATTTCACTGGCTGTGGCAGTGGCAGGCCTGCTGATGATGATGATGGTGGTTTCCAACTGAAACTGATAGTGTGAATATGTCCCCACATTCAATGGGGGGGATAGGATATTTAAGCGCGCGCCTATCAAACACTGTCGCCTCCGCCACACAATAAATCTTTGTCAAGGGCCCAAATTGACATTTTACAACCAAAAAAGCCAAAGCCAAAGCCGAGGCGGAGGACAAAGTACTTACTTTGCAGTTGTTGTTCGTGTCCCTGCTGCCACGCTGATATTGTTGTCAGCAATGATGGCCCAAAGCATCAGCCACATGCGTTGCGGCGGCTCGGCCACACACGGGGAGTATCCAGAGTCCCAGGACACACAAGTGGGCCGATATCTAGCCCGTTGTTGCCCCCAACACTCAGGCGATTTAATATCTGATGTGGCTTCGAGGCGTGCCCGCTGTCGCTGACGATCCCCACTCATCACATTATCCTTTGTCCTCGTCGCGGCTGCACATGGTCCTATATTGAAGTCATCTGTAAGGCTCCTGTCCTCAATGGCAGACTGCATTAAGCGTTCATTAAGCTGTTAGCAGCAAGGGAAAACTGCTGGAACTAAAAAGGCTTACCCTGATGATAAAACTGGGAGAAATATAGCCATGGAAAATACTGTCTTATCGAATACCATTGGTTACATTGTCAGTTCCAAATTAATCGTCAAACTATGAGGGTAAAAAGTATTTTGATTTTGTTAGCCGTTTTTTGGGTAAGTGAAATAAAATAAAATAAATAATAAAAATGATTAGCAAATTATACGAGGCTCGATCATCGTTACTTACAGTTCGCCCATATCCATGCGGATTTCGCTGAGGATGGTCTTAAAAAGCATAATGAGTACAGAAAAATGCACGGTGTCCCGGCCCTAAAGTTAGACCCGGATATCACCAAAGGCTGTGAATCATATGCCCAGGTATGGATGCAATTCGAAACGAATTCGAAGAGTCAAAATATCTAATGCTTTTGTTGTCACACACAGACTCTGGCCGAATTGGGTAAGCTTGAGCACTCAAAATCAGAAGATCGTCCCGGGCTTGGAGAGAACTTAGCCTACACCTACTCCGATCCGCTTTCCGTTGTAAAGATGTGGTATGATGAAATATCCAAGTACGATTTTAAGAAGCCAGGATTCAATATGGAAACCGGCCACTTCACGCAAGTCGTCTGGAAGGCCTCTACCCACCTGGGTATGGGCAAGGCTACAGAGTGAGTAATTATCGATCATGGTTGTATGTACAATATATAATATTTGACATGCAACATATACTCACAGCAAGCTTGGCAGAATTTGGGTTGTGGGCCGGTACAAGCCGCCAGGCAATTTTAAAGGGCAATTCGAAGAAAATGTTCCCAGGCGGAAGTATGTACTCGAAAGACTCTTGTGAAAGAAGTCTTAATATTAATTTCGTTTCTTTTAACCAGCTATGGTAATTCAATAATCTGTTCAACATCACTTGGCTTTGCTGCTCTTACTCTAATTTTGGTTCTTAATTAATGCATTAAGTGGATCTCTAGTAATTCGGATTGTGATTGGGTATTTAAATTCAAAAAATTCAAAATTTAATAACGTAAAATAAACCATCGTTCGATTATGTCTCCAAGAGAATGGTATTCAAACCATTCATTCCTTCATAAGCTATAATCGTCGTCTTATCAACATTGACTAATCATAAGCTCAGAAATCAATAAAGATATGGGCCTTAAGAGTTGGATTGTGTAGTCGGGAAAGGACTTGGCCAAAAGGATAAGTATGCGGCGGGGGGTGTCTGTCTAAATGTGCTGCTAATGATGATAGTTTCGAAAAGGGTACCAACACGAAATTGTATTTGAAATTCAAATAAGCTTTACACGGAGTGCCAGAGGGGCCCGGGGTCTGGACCACGACCTAGAACCCACATATGCATAGGGCTGGGTGGCATGTGGAGGGATGGGACTGTTGGGTTAATTTGAAAACGTGCGATAAGGAAATTCAATTTTTTCTCCCCCTGAAAGCCGGGACCCGGCCTGCTTTCTGGTGTATGCTTTCTGTTGCCTTTCTATTTTCTTTTTTTTTTATTATTTTTATTCTTTCTTTTTTTGGCAATCAGCATCGAAGCAAACAAAATTCCCCACTGGCCGTGTGTCTCCTGCTGCTGCTTCTGCTGCCTTTCTCTCTCATTCATGGTATTGTAATTTAACATTTTGTTGTCGTCGCTGTTTCGTTTTTCCCATTGGGAGCTGCCGAGAGTCGTCCTGAGGCCCCGAGCAGCTGCCGGCAGCGCATTAAATCCTTAAGCACACATTATTATTCAATCAGATATGAAGTTTTATTTATACCTTTCTTTCTCTATTTTTTTGGCTCTTACGTTGGTTTTTGTTGGTGTTGTCATCGGTTTTGGATTCGGCATTCGGCATTCGGCATCCGGTTTCCTGTGTTTCCGTGCTGGGCTCCATGCGTGGATTTTTGGATTGTCTTGGGTGCTCCTCCCGCCTAATGACATTCAAATTGCTTCCATCTCTGGTGCCCGTTTCACCTTTCATTTCAAACACTTTTCACACACACACACTCGAAAAATTAATGGAATTGCAGATCTCTCGCCACCGCAGGGAATACACTCGTTTAATTTTCTACTTTTTATACCCGATACTCAAAATGAGTATTGGGGTATATTAGATTTGTGGTAAAAGTGGATGTGTGTAACGTCCAGAAGGAATCGTTTCCGACCCCATAAAGTATATATATTCTTGATCAGCATCAATAGCCGAGTCGATTGAGCCATGTCTGTCTGTCCGTCTGTCCGTCTGTCCGTCCGTCCGTCTGTCCGTCTGTCCGTCCCCTTCAGCGCCTAATGCTCAAAGACTATAAGAGCTAGAGCAACGATGTTTTGGATCCAGACTTCTGTGATATGTCACTGCTCCAAAAATATTTCAAAACTTTGCCCCGCCCACTTCCGCCCCCACAAAGGGCGAAAATCTGTGGCATCCACAATTTTGACGATACGAGAAAACTAAAAACGCAGAATCGTAGAGAATGACCATATCTTTTAGACTGCAGAATCTGAATTGGATCGTATTATTATTATAGCCAGCATCACGAAAACAATTTAATTTTTTCTCGCCCTGTCTCTCTCTAACACACACGTAGCATAGGCGGCTTTGCTTAGAGTAAAACATTAGCGCCTAGATCTCAGAGACTATAAAAGCTAGAGCAACCAAATTTGGTATCCACACTCCTAATATATCGGACCGAGACGAGTTTGTTTCAAAATTTCGCCACACCCCCTTCCGCCCCCGCAAAGGATGCAAATCTGGGGATATTCACAAATCTCAGAGAGTATTAAGGCTAGAGTAACCAAATTTAGTGTCCGTACTCCTGTTAGATCTCACTATAAAAAGTATATCTCAAAATTTCGCCCCACCCCCTTCCGCCCACACAAAGGACGAAAATCTGTTGCATCCACAATATTGCAGATTCGAGAAAACTAAAAACGCAGAATCATAGATAATGACCATATCTATCAGGTTGCTGAATCTGGATCAGATCAGATCATTTTTATAGCCAAAAGGAACAAATCAATTTGCAGTGGCTACGCAGCGCCCGACGTCACGCTCAGACTGATTTTCTGTCTCTCTCGCACGCACTCTTTGTCGTGTCGTTTAATATTAGCGGCGCTGCCGGAGGGGAGCCATACTGACTTAGTATCGGGTATAACTGTAGAGTTGCGCTGTCCGCAGCAACTCAGAACGTCCCCCCTCGTTTTACTTTGAGTTAAAGCAAAAGAAAAGAGATTCCGACTTGATGCACTTAAAACTTAAGAACGCCAAACGGATAAGGATGTTGATTTGACTGTGCTTTTGCGGATGTCCTGCTTCCCATCGCCATCGCCATCGTCACTTCATTGGGTCTTGATGCCTCCTCATCAACTATTTATAACTTGAAATTGGTCGTAAAATTTATGTGCATCATAAATGCGGCACTGACAAAATGTTATGAAATCAAATTTACACACCAAAACCATCCCTAATGACAGCGAGGAGCAAATTTTCACGCGAAACGAGAACGCGCTGGACTCGGACCCATCAAGGATGTGCGGGGAGAGGGGGGCGGCGGGAGGGAAAGAGCTGGGGAACTGGGCGAAAGGGCTGCGCTGCCATTGGCCTGAAAATTGTTTAATTACGCCTCGCGTACTTAAATTGTAATGGCGCTGACCTAATTGAGTAATAATTAAAATGAAGTGCATGCTAAATTGTTATTAATTATTAAAATGTTCGCAAAGGTCCACCAGGAACCAGGACCTTCATCGATTGCATTTTTCTTTCCCCACAAAAAAGGGAGATGAAGGAAGGAAAACTTCTAGCAGCCGCGATAGTTTGTTGCAAGTGTCGCTGCACTGAGAGTTATGACTCCAAGCGGACAAATTGGAATTGCATTTTCACTGGCGAGGAAATGTTCGGGTCATAATTGTTTGGCAGAATGCGAAATAAATGGGGAGAGTTCCCCACAAACGACGATGTTTTCGGCGGGGAGTACTGGGATCTGTACTCCTCCTGTTTTTCTAGAGAAAAAGGTAATTTACTTCATCGAATGAATGATGGCCGTGGACAACATGTTAAATGCGCCAACCACTCGAAACAAATACACCCACGCACGGAGCTGTTCGAGTCCTGTAGCAACGACACATTTCAATATAAATTATTGTCAATGGGAGTGCATAAAATGTCGCCATGAAGCTGCAACATAAAAGGCAGAAAAAAATAACAAACAACAAACACACTCATACATACATACACATTCACGTTATTCATTGTGAAAGCAAGTGCCAGAGCCACAGCCACAGTCACAGCCAGAGAGCGCAGAGCCCCAGCAAGAGCCAGAGCGACGACGTGACTGCAAGTAGATGGATGCACGGGGCGTATGCGCACTGCGATATGCAACAAATTGCTAAACAAATCAAATTTATTGCTAGAGTTGCGTGGAGTACGAGGAGTACGCATGTAAAGCGTCACGGAGATAGCAGAAATTAATATGACTCGCCATTTGTTCTGCCTGTTCTGCTGTTGGTGGCTGCTGGCTCTCCTCTCGTTTGGTGGCTATCAGCGTTTTGTATAACTTCATTTGGGAATGCTCTGTTCTGTTTGCGTTTTCTTGTTTTGTTTTGTTTTTGTTTTGTTAAAGTGTACTTTAACACACAGAGACACACAGGCAAAGGCAGAGGCACAGACGCTGGCACTGGCAATGGGCGCAGGCTGCATGCATAAAAACATGGCGGTTGGTCCGAGCGGAAGTCCGTCTTGTGCTGCGTTAAATTTATGCCAGACTGCGGCTATGCTGCACTGCTGCTGCTGTTGTTGCCTCTTTCGCTGTGGCTCTCGGCGATACAATGGGTGAAATGAGCTGAGAAAGAGGTAAGTTCCGCTTGAGGGAATGTCCCCAAGAAACCGACCAATAAAAGATTTATTTAAAGTAAATTTTAAACCCCAAAGGGAAACTTTCTTTCTTTAAATTTCCATTTGGGGTTATTCAGTTATGCATTAGCTCTTAATTACTCCATTTTCGAAACGATTTCAGCCGCGACTCCATTTATTGTACCCATTGTCCCCATTCGAGGCAGTTATTGTTATTGTTGTTGTTGATTTTTATTTTCTCAATTAGGAAGTTGTTTTTATTATTGTTGTTTGTTGCATACATTGAAACAAGCTAAATACGCACACACACAGAAGGGCAGAGAAGAAAAGGAGAGAGGAGAACAAACATGGCGGAGCAGACACTTATTCATCAGGCAGGAAGTTTGCTGGCTGCCATCATTGTTGCTGTGGCTGTTCGCTGCGGCTGCTGTTGCTGTTGCTGTTACTGTTGCTGCTGCTGCTGTTGTCGAGCAGACTTGTTAGTTGTTCCGTGGGTGTTTGCCGCTCATGCAAATTGCATAAGTAACAAAAACGTGGCAACAAAATATAGAAAAAGAAAGCAAAAGGAAAAAAAGGGGGGAAAAAAGCTGAAACCAACAAGGAAAAATGGTGGCAAGGAAAGTTGCTCTCTCGCACTCGTAGTCGTATATTTTTTGAATTTATATTTAACTGTATTACAAGGAAACAACTTCAGCAACACCCCCAAGACCTCCCCCCCGGAATCGGAAGTTATAGTTATGCCGCTTGCGCGGACGCACACATACTACTATATATAGGAAAAACAGTAACAAAAGTTTATTTAAAACTTTTGCGGTTAAGCTTGTTACTTGCCAGCTACTTTTGGAGCCCTGCAGCCCCCAGCAAAAGACCAACCCCGACCTCCCTGCTAACTCGTTTAGTTCAAGAGTTCTGCTCTACAAAATATTTAAGCTGCAGTTTTTCTAGAGGCCGAGACCCGTGCCATAAACATCAACGAGAGGCAGAGCACGTGTAGTCCATTGGTAGTCATAAAAATTATACAGACTTTGACTTTGACTATGCCATTAACCTTTGCCCAGAGACTTCACCTCTGGCTCTGGCTCTGGCTCGAGCTTCTCTCAATCTCATCTTAATCAGCTGCTGGATTAACCAACTTTATATAGCTGCTTAAATTTTCAACATTCTAGGAACTTGAGCAAGCTCCGGGTGTGCTGCCGCTGCCAGCCAGGCATCATAAAAATTTTCAATTTCATTTGCCTGGCACAAAGGAACCCCAGGCCTGGCAGGCATGAGGTGCCAGTGCCCAGAGCATGATGGTATGGTGGCAGAAGGTAGGAATA